AACCTTAAACAAATGGTGTCCTCTATAACTCCATTCATCTTAATAGTGTTGCATATCTCCAAGAAATTGGCCAAGTGGGCATTAAGATCCTCCATAACTCTACCCCCATATTGACCTTACTAAACCATTTGAATGAGACCAGGTTTGATCTTGAAGTTTTTAGCATTAATGAATGGTCTAACAATGCTTGTTTGAGCTCCATGAATATCAGGCATAACATAATCATGCAATGCCCCGGCATCATTAACGTTATTTTCAACCATCTTTATTTGTTTTTCTTTTTCTAACTCTAACTTTCTTTCTCTTCTTAATGTGCAAAACATACGTTCAATCTCCAGATCCAATGCTATCAATTCCAAGCTTTGGCTACGTCTTATACACCAAGAAGTACTCGAAAAAAGTAAAAACAAAACAAAACAAACAAAATTAAATAACAAGAAAATAAAATATAAATTAATAAAGAAAACTTTTAGTATTGATGTTGACACTTTTGCTTCCCCGACAATGTCGCCAAAAACTTATTATGCTAATCTCACAAGTGCATAGATTGTGAAATAATGTAGACTGGGTAAAGTATCATTCCCACAAGGAGGTTGTATCAAGTATCAAAAGTATGGTTTTTTATATTATTTAGAAATTTCAACTTAATTTAAAAAAGGTTAACTAATCAAAATATAAATTAAAGACTATCAATCACTTGAACTTTAACAAATAATAATTGAAATTCTAGAATTTAGATTTCATCAATTATATCCCTATGATTAACTTATGATTGATTGATTTAACTTATCTTTTTAAAATTAATGACTAGGTCACCTAAGGTATATGTTGTTCCATTTCGAGATACAACAAATGTATTTCTATTTATCCTATTTCTACTTTCGTGATCACAAGCTTTAATATAAACCTACTAAGTTCTATGGTAATCTATACATTCGGTCATGTAGCGACTTACGACGCATAAATCATATGATGTCACAAAGGAGTATTTTTATTTCTAAAGAATACTTCCCTAAGTCTAATGTCTTAATGAACTAATGATATGTTTCATCTTTCGATCCTTCACATAACACCTCTAACATGCAAATAATGATCGGTTATTTATAAGAATTAAATCTTAAGACAATAGATTAATCTTCACAAGAATAAACTCAAATCAATCATTTAAAAGTAGTCACAAGAAAAGCAAAAGATTGCATCTAAACCCTAGAATGAGAAATTTAGCTACTCATTGAATAAGAATCAAACACAATCTTTATCAAAATAAATCCAAAAGTCATCATCTTGACAAGTAACAATATAAAAAAATAGAAAAAGTTTCAAAGAAAACTCGTTAAGGCTTGAATGAATGCTTCAAATCTTAACTCCTTGATTTGAAATCTTCACTCTTTAAGGGATAACTAGACCTCCCCCTTTTCTTCTCACTCAAATCTCTCTTATTTCCTTAGAGTTTTCCCCCTTCTTTAGCTCTCCTAGCAGCTGCTTAAATAACTAGCCTAAGTTGTTTATTACCATATAAGCTCTATCCAACTAAAAGTTTTAAATTAATTTAGCTTCTAACTTGTGATAACTCCTTCAAATAAACCTCTAGCTCAACTTGAATTCCACCACATTATGTTGCCAATCTCCTTATCAATTTGAATTAAATATGGAAACTTATCCAATTAGAAGTCCATTATTCCTCAATTTTGGTTCACAATGTCTAGCAAGTTGTGATGAATTTTTCTCCTTTATCTCATTTGAACTGGGTAAAATGATAAATATAAGAATTGTAGCCCTATTTCTTAGTTTTCCAATGCCTAAACACATTATTTGGACCTTCAAAGTGAAAGTTATACATGAATTACCAAAATAGGTTTCGACACATGGCTTTTTCTACAACGAAGGCCAAATGGCCTAAATTTCTTTTGTTTACTTACCTATCAATCTCAAATAAAAAAAAAGACTAGATAAACTCAAACTTAATCTAAAAGGTATTAAAATAACTCCAAAACAAGTAAATAATTAAAAAGTTAAGTAATTAAGCCCTATAAAATATATGCAAATTATGCACACATCATATAAGAATTTAGAAAAAGAAAATCAAACACAACTTAGACTAATATAGTACTCCTCTCATACAAAATCCCTTTCCAGTTGGAACAAATCCAAAAGTAGTGATGAAGCTTATAGTTGAAGAGAGACTGAAGCAATAAAAGAGGGGACACATAGCTCTTTAAGGGTGTTAGATAAGAAACTTAAAGTAAAGTAACAAAAAAAGAGAGTGAATTGGTTTTTAAAAAATATTTTCTAAAAACAAAGTTACAAGTTAGCTTAAAAATAATGAAAAAACAAAATATGTAACTAGTGATGATAATGAAAAAAGAAAGAGTACTTAGCCTAGATTTTATAAAGATTTGGCCCTCAAAGCCTACGTCCTCTCCATTGATGGCACAAAGAGTTCGAATCCATTCCCTTTAAATCAAGTTTAAGCACAACCTTTAACACACTACCTTTTCTATAGAGGTATAACTTTTATCTACCTTTTTTATGGAGGTATAACCTTACACTACTTTTTACAATAGAGATATAACTTTATACTACCTTTTACAATGGAGGTATATCCTTACACTACATTTTTTGTGGAGGTATAACCAACCAACAGTGGATTCTCGCAAAGAATATAAAGCTTAAAACCTCAAAAGGCTAAAGAGCTAGGTTAGGTACAAAGAATATGAAGGATTTCAGAAGATAAAGGCTGTAAGAAGAATATTCTGTTTAGGAATATGTAGTAGAAAGAGAAGAAAATGATTTTTTGATTTGCTTAGCTTTTTCTTTCTTAGGAATGAAATTTCTACCCTTTTTTCCTTGTTGAATAACGGTTTCCCAAAGGCATGTGTAGTCCCTTGTGGTTTTTGCTCATTAGGGTAAGTTTTAAACAATTTTTTAATGTTAGGACCACTTGAATTGTGTCATTCTCACTTAAAGAATCGATCTTTCATGATTGTGAATCAACTCTTGCTTTAGTTTAGAGCTTGGTGGAATCAACTTGTAGATATGTATGATATCTATTCTTCTACATCAGAACCTTTCTGTTTTCTGAGAATCGATCTTTCCATTCTTGATATGTTGATTCTTCCTGTCGCACTTCAAAGTTTGAAGCTTTCTATTTTCTAAGAATCGATCTTTCCATTCCTAAGACATCGATTTTTCTTATCACACTACAAAGTCTAGACCTTTCTGATTTTTGAGAATCAATCTTTGTTTTGTCAGATGTCAATTCTTCTTCCTTGTTAGGTGCCAAAATTGAAATTCAAACTTGTTGTTAGATGCTCCATTTTTATTGTCTTATCCCTTCTCTTTTTTTCCAAGTTTTCAATTTTTCCTTTTGCAACTTCTGGATTCGATGTTTAATGCTTGAGATGTCGATTCTTCTTTTTCCAATGGCTTTCCAAATTGCTTCTGCTTTCCCAAGAATCTCAAGATATCAATTCTCTTTTCTTCTAATATCTTTTGTATCTTTAGGAATTGACTTATGTTCCTCAAGATATCGATTCTCTTTTCTTTCAATGGCTTCTATATCTTCAAAAATCGATTCTTTTTCCTTCAGGAAATTCTGATTTCTATTTTGTAGAAAATCGATTCTTCACTTTCAGAAGATTGATTCTAATAGTTGGAACTTTAGTTTTAAAGCGTTTAAAATCATTTTCTTTACACAACCAATCTTCAAAATTCTTTTAGATTGTTCTTTAAGTTTAAAAATCATTTTCATTTAAATTTAAAGCATATTTAGATCGTTTAATTTTATCAATTTAAAATCAGAGTCAATTTTAAAGCTAACAAAGGGCTCATGTACTCCCTTTATATTATAGAAAGAATGAATAAAATTCTAATTGATGTTAAGGTATAAAGGTTATTAATTATGGGTCTAATTAATTCATTTGGGTATGAAGATAATTATAAACCCAAAACTTTAATTCTTCTCCAAAAAATGGGGTTAAGACTTAATTTTCTTATTGTTTATCCTCAAATAAAAAGACTTATTTTCATTATTGTAAAAAAAAAAACTTGTTAATTCTTAAAGGCACGAATTTTTACATACATGTTTCGTTTTTTTCTTAAGACCATTATTTGGTTCATATTTATTAATTAAATTTACATATCTATATATTGATTTTAAAGTTTATAAAATATCAAAGTATAGTAATTAAATCAAATTAAACTTGTTTATTTGACTTTCAAGAGAATTCTTTTTTTTTAAAAAATTGAATTATAAAATGTATCAATTATTTGCGATATTAATTTAAACACTACAAAACATTCCAAAGAACTTGATATAAAATTAACATTTCCATTGGTAATAATTATGAACGTATGTCTAAAAGTTTACTTTACATGTCTTATAATTTAAATATTAGTTAATAAGTAATTAAATTTTAGAATGTAAATTTGAAAAATAATTGTAAAATAATAGAGTTTTTGACAGTATTTAACTAATATACTTAATATCTTTTTTATTCATTTGAGACAATTGGGTTTGAGTTACGAAAAAAAAGATAATTTTTTAATTATGATACATTACTTTAACATTTAGAATATATAGAGAATTCTAATTCAAATTTAGAAATGTGAAAAATACGAACAAAAGACATAAAATTTTGAACAAGGAATAAAAGGATAAACTAAATTAGTTGAAAACAATCAATTGTAAATTGCATATCTCATATCAATTGATGCAATAGTTTATATAATATAAATTATTAAATAATACAATTCAGATTGATATATCCAAAAAAATAATGAATACCCTAATCGTTAACATCTTTAAAAATAATTAAATGTAAAAATACGAGTCGTAATTATGGGAGAATATTGAAATAATAGTAACTAAGAATTAAAGAAAGGTAACATGATCTTTAACTAAGAATTAAATAATAGTAACTAAGAATTAGGGTTTAGGAGTAGGAGTAGAAGTGGGAGTGGGAGCGAGGGGGAGGGAAAAAAAAAGGAGGGAAACGGTGGGAAGGGTTTAAGAATTATAACACAAAACGCAGAGCCAAAACTTAAACGGAAGACAGACGTACAAAATCCCACTGAAACCCCAAGCCCTCTGTTCGATGGCGCTCCTTCTGCGACATCCTTATCTTCATCTTCGTCTAATGGCTTCTAGCTCTCGTTTCTTCCTTCATTCTCCTTGTTTTCACTCTCTCGCTTCGCTTCCTCGCTCCTCTCTCTTCTTCAAGCCCAGGTTTCTTATTTTCTCTCTCTTTTCACCTTTTTTTTTTTCTTTTTTGCTAGTTCTATTTGGTTAGTTGACTAACATGGGAAATGAAAACGGAGTTGAGTTTCTAAAAGTAGAATACCAAATGGGTATTTTGTATTTTGTTCAATTATTACTTTAAATATGTCAAATGGCAATAACGTTTGTCATTCTTTTCGCTCTGTTTGGTAAAAAAAGCTGTTTTATTCTTTCTTATTTCTGGGTTTACTAATAATGAAAACTGATTAGCTTTCTACAATTTCTTTTATTTGAGTACTCAATGTGGGTTTCTTTCTTTCGTTTTTCTTTAAGGTTTTCCATTTTCTCTGCAATCCCTTTGTCAAATTGGGCTATTGGTTCGCAGGAAAAACTTTGCATTGAGGAGCAGTTGGAGGCTTCCAGTTCAAAATGTGGTCACACCAAAGGCATTCATGTCATCTAACTTAACAACTGAAGCTTTCCAGGGAAGCAAAAGCTCCAAAGCATATAACTCTGAGCAAATTCAGGTACTTTTGCATAGACTTTTTTCTTTCGTATGTTCTTTAATTTAGTTTTAATGTTGTCTATGTTGTGGTTTTGGTTCTACATAATGTCTTGTACTGTCTTAGGTTCTGGAAGGGTTGGATCCTGTTAGAAAAAGACCTGGAATGTATATTGGAAGTACAGGACCCCGTGGTTTGCACCATTTGGTACTTAAATCTTTTTCAATTGTTTTTTATTTTTAGCAATATTGATAAATAGATGTTGATTTTGCTTCTTCCTATTAGGTTTACGAGATATTGGATAATGCTGTTGATGAGGCACAAGTTGGTTTTGCGACACAAATAGATGTTGTTCTACTTTCAGATGGTTCTGTGAGCATAACTGATAATGGGCGAGGGGTATCCAACTCCTTCTACTATTTTATTGCTACAAATGATGTTTGTAATATTGCATTTGTTGTCAAACGTGTATTAAATGTTCCAACCTTTGAATTTAACTTTAATATGCAGCTGTTTTATCCAATGCCTTGTTTTATTATGGATGCAATAAAACATTTTCTTGAGATGTGAAATACCTGAGCCCTCTGCAAGAATTTGCCTGTCATAATTTTGGTGCATATGACCTAAACATTTTCATTGATCATTATGTGTTTCCAGTGCAGAGCATTTTAATTCTTTTACTTTGCAATATCTTGGCTAAGAACTGTCTGTTATTTCTGCCAGCTGTTAATGTGTTTTCCTACTATTTTTCACTTGGTTACACTTATGAATTGCAGATTCCAACTGACTTGCATCCTATCACAAAGAAATCTGCCTTGGAGACAGTGTTGACGGTAATTAAGCATAAATGATCCTATGTCCATTTTGAATTTTTTTTTTAGGTTAGCAGGAATCTTTTTCAAGAAATTCACTTGAATAAATAAAACACTCATCTTGTTTGTCCTGTAATTTGTGATGTTAAGTTTGATCTCATGACTTGGTCCTGAATCTCAGATTTCAATGAATCTTGACACCATGCTTCGGGTATTTGTCCTTAGGGTGCTTCAAATGAGGATGTCTTTTGCTTTCTTGGATTCAGTTTATTCATGTAGTTCTCCATTTTTGTCTCATTGTCTTGTGATCTATTGGCATGGCTTTGAGAGCCTCACCTTATGGGAAAAAAATGATTTAAACAGTCATAAAACTAGGTATTTTTGCTAAAGGAATTGTGAGAAATTTATCGTCTGAATGACTTTCAAGATACTGAATACATTCTTTGCTTTCAGAAAATGTGCATGAATTATAAAACTATAATGCTTCTAAATTTCTAATCTTGATGGTTACTTTGACTGATGGAATTGTGAGTTAGTTTATGCTAAAACTTCTTAATTCACATTAGAACACCACTTCTTAACTAAGTTACTATGTGAAAATACCAACTAAACTGTTTATATGTCTTGCTCAATTCATGGATTTTCTTTTTCTTTTATTTATGGAGAAACATAATCCAAATGAAGAAATTATTTTCTATACCTCTTTCACAAAAACTAAGGTGAATAATCTCAGTATTATGTAGAGTATGGATATAATTTAATTGGTGAAATAGATGATTAGTATTGCCTGTCTAAATTCTTGCAGTAGACATTAATCTTATACAGTTGTGTTTGCCTTGATGAGAATAATATTTCTCAATATAGTTGGGTTTTGACAAAAAAATAATTTTTAATTTGCAATAGTGGAAGGCATCTTCTAGATTAGGAATTAGTGCTGTGTATCAAGATAGACAATGTACAAGCACGGGAAAAAAAATGGAGATGAAAGGAACCCAAAGTCATATTTACAAGAAGCTCTAGGAGTTACCATCAAAATAAAAGAAACCACATCATTTTAAGTAGTTGTTAATGCATTACTTTCTCTTTTACAGAATAGATTGATTGGATGCCAGTTACATATCCTTCTTATTCTGCAGGTCTTACATGCAGGTGGCAAGTTTGGTGGTTCAAGTAGTGGTTACAGCATCTCTGGTGGATTGCATGGTGTGGGTTTATCTGTTGTCAATGCCTTATCAGAGGTGTGTTATATTCTAATTTGTAAAATATCCCCATTTCTGGTCTTATTTAGTTTTGTTGTGTCTATACAGTTGTCAAAGATGAGGTAGGCTTAGGCACTCATCTAAGTGCTCAAATGAGGTGAGTGCCAGAAAATGCCTCGAAACCCTAAAAAAGATAAATAAAAAAAATAGGGGATGGGGTGAGGGATCCTTCTAAAACAATGATATCCATCAAAATCTTTGGTGAAGGCTAGAGACACTTCTCCTTTACAGTTTATTGTTTTGTCAGGGCCTTGCTCTATTGTTTTCTGCAACTTTGAAGCTGTGAGAGACTGGTAACTGGGTCTGTCCAACAAATCATAGGATTGATTCCTTCTTTATTTCATTTTATTCTTTGACTCTTTTTTATCCTTTCAGATTGAGTTAAACTTCTCTAATGTACTGCTTTTATGGTTGAACAATCATATGGTTAACTTTCCTTATGCCACTAGGTACTCTACAAACAAAAATCCCATTCAGAGGGAAATAGTGATACTAAATATGGCTATACCAGAATATGTATTTGTCATATAGGATATAAATTTATTCTCTAAAATATTTATTCACTTCAAAAATCTGAGCCAATGCTTACTCTAGTGAGTGCATTTTGACACCTAGTGCGTTGAGTGTACCTTTGTGTTTGACCAAATTGGTTTCTATTTGGGTCTCTAGGCTGTCATCAACTTTACTTTTTCTCTCGTAATTTATTCTTAATTCATAGATTAAAAAAATCTGTTTGCTACATCCTATGTCTTCGAAATAAAATATGCTCTGCTCAGGTTATGATAGAATGTAGTTTACACTTTATTAGCATTCATATTTGCATGCATAAATCTTAATTGAAAACATCAGTGTTTGAAGTCAAGGGAAAATAAATGTTAATGAGATGATATTTTATATGGTGACAATGATATCTCGTAAAATGTTAATTAAGGTTTTGCAGGAACTAATTATCACTTATTCTAAGTTGGCCATCTCTTTCTTTGCAGACGTTAGAAGTCACTGTTTGGAGGGATGGAATGGAATACCAGCAAAAATATTCACGTGGGAAGCCTATATCGACACTAACATGTCACGTGCTTTCAACTGAATCAAAAGATCGTCAGGGGACGTGCATCCGGTTTTGGCCTGACAAAGAAAGTATGCCTGATTTTTGAGCTCTTAATTTCTGATAATCAGATTTTATGATTTATTAATATTTGATTTCTTGTTTAACTAAACCCTCAGTATTCACCACCGCCATTGAGTTTGACTACAACACACTTGCTGGACGAATTAGAGAACTTGCTTTTCTGAACCCTAAGGTAAATTCTTCACCTTGAGTTAGGTCACTATATTCTGATCAGTCACCATTATAGTTTCCAATTTTGATCTTTATATGGATGTCATGTTAGGCATGTTCTTGTTTTTTATTTTAATTTTCTTCATGCAGCAGAAATTTGAGACCATGCTTTACTGGTGTTATAGCTTTACAATTTTTTTTGTAATTGACCTTTGTAGCTTACTATCACTCTTAAAAAAGAAGATAACAATCCAGAGAAGAGCCTTTACAATGAATATTTCTTTGCTGGGGGACTGGTTGAATACGTGAAATGGCTAAATACCGATAAGGTTTGTGCATTCATTTTTTCCTGTCTTCTCTCTCTTTCCATTTGATTCTTCTCTATGTATGTATTGTTCCTTGCCCCTCCCTTTCCTCTCTCTATTCCTTTTGTTTGCTTTTATGCTGATTTCCTACATCCTCAACCCACAATGTACATACATACATACATACGTACGTACACACACACACACACACACACACACATATATATAGTATGTTTGTTTAGATCTTTTCAGGCTAAGATGCTGTGGAATTAAATGAGTGGATTCATGCTTGAGAATGAAAAAAGAATAGAAGGGAAAGATGTAATCAGAACTTACTTTTGCTAATTGTAGAAGGTTTTCATCCCTATAAGACTAAAGATTTATAGTTATTAGTTATTGAACCTGAGTAAATGGGTTATATAGGTTGAGGGCAAAGGTTCACTTGATTGGTTTTATGGATATGGTTAGAAATTTATTGAGAAAATTTTATAAATATGAAAATTTTATAACAAATAAATGAAAATTGAAGGAGAAAGACTTAGACTGTTGGATTTGTATCATTTCCTGTAACTTATAAGAGTCATCAGCTACGCAAGGTTCATTTTGTTCAGCAATTGTTTTAGAGTTAATAATGATTAATGTGTTTCCAGGTGTTCATTCATGTTAAAACCCAAATAAAAGGCTATTCTGCAAATTATTTTGTTATGAACTGTATTTTTTAGTATCTTGCTGAGTTTTTGATGACACAGTATCATACTAAAACTTGTATGCATGAGAGATTATTGATCTAGTTTTTAGCTATGAGGCCATATGTGCCATATGTGGCTTAATTCAGTCAATATTTTTGTTAGTAGTCCTAAAACTTCCAAAACCACAGTTCTTAGAACATAAGTATTACAGACATTATAGGTTGTGAAATACATTACCAGGCAAGTCTAGAGTGATCAGGTTACTTGGCATTTATACATCTATGTAGAACTCAATGTAATTTGTCATGATCATGGTTTCTTATGTAATTATAATTATTGATACACTTATATTTTGTTGAGTCTGGAGCAATGCATATTGTATAAATGGATGTCCAAACTTTCAGCCGTAGGGCTTCAATATCTGAAGATAAAGTCATGAGTGAGACTCTTATATGAGTGACACATCATAATGTTTGGACAGCTTTTCTGTCCCAGATAGAGTATTTAAGTAATGGTTGGAAAATTGAACTGTTTTTTTGGGGGGTTTTATCTATCGCACTGTTATAGATGAAATCAAAATATGAGATTAATGCAAAATCTAGAGTTTGCACTGCTTTCATCTGTGGGATCTGAACAAATTGCATTATTTGATATGTATTCTCTCTCTTACATTCTAAACTGCTTGGATCTACTGTATCATTTTGCATTTTGGTAATATTGCATTGGTAACTGGCGATTCTTTTGTTCAGAAACCACTTCATGACGTGCTAGGTTTCAGCAGACAAATAGATGGAGCTACAATCAATGTTGCTCTCCAGTGGTAAACCACTAATCGCTTAGTTTAGCATTCATATGGATTTTGTGAATTTTGTTTTTTTCCATGATGAAGAAATATTATCTCTGCTGCAAATTTGTTTTAAGCATCAGATTGCCTTTGCTGTTTGTTCACCTTTGAAAAATTAGCTACACTTTTCATGATTCATATCTTCCATGCATTTATTAAGGAGTTGATGGAATCTATCTGTTTATTGTTTTTAATGGTGCTTGGTTCATTTTATGCATCAAGGATGTCAGGTTCAGGATGTGTTTAGTGTCTATAATTTTGTGTGATGCACTACTTTGGTATGTCTCATTCCTTGAATAATCCATGTGGTTTGATTTGGTTTGTTCATCTTCTACTAGGTGTTCAGATGCATATTCAGATACAATGTTAGGCTATGCCAATAGCATACGGACCATTGATGGTGGCACACATATAGAGGGGGTTAAGGCTTCATTGACAAGAACTCTCAATAATCTTGGAAAAAAGTCTAAGGTTATCAAGGTATTTCTATTCATGTTTCCTATTTTGAAGTTCTTTTTGTTCTTGGTCGTCTTCTGTTGAGTTTTGTATTTTTCTGCTATGGGGAGTACCAACTAACTTGGATTATTTTTACTCTTTTTCAAGGAAAATATATACGAGGATTGTGTTTATTTCAAAAGATTCAGCTGTGCTTAATTGAAATTTTCAAAGCTTTCATAAAAAATGTTTATCTCAAGAAGCACATTGTCCTGCTGTTGCCAAAAAGGCCTTTCAGTTAGAAACCTCTATTAAAGTGCTTTTAAGGTCTAACAAACAGTAGTTAAAGCACTTTTGTTTTCGCTAAGTAGTAATTAAAGCACTTTAAATGCTTTAAATTTGTTTATTGATGTTATGGATTTAAGTTTAACAATTATTTAGACATGGATGAATAGAATGCGGATTTGAAGTAATTGTGATGTATGTTATTATGAGTCATCTTCCATAACTTTCAGGATAAGGATATTAGCTTAAGTGGTGAACATGTAAGGGAGGGACTGACATGCATTATTTCTGTGAAAGTTCCAAATCCAGAATTTGAAGGACAGACAAAGGTATGATTTGTATATCATGATATCCATGGAATACTTATATTCTTGTTCATAGTGATGCTCTTGATAGCTTGAATTAGATTGCTGTCCAGCATTGCTGTTATGATGACTTGATGAGTTTTCATTTATTGTTAAAAGACAAGATTAGGAAATCCTGAGGTGCGGAAAGTGGTTGATCAATCTGTCCAAGAGTTTCTTGCCGAATTTTTGGAGTTGCATCCAGATGTACTTGATTCTATTCTTTCCAAATCACTAAATGCTTTCAAGGTACCCTTCGCATCTCTTACAAAATTTCTTTTAACCCAGTTATTGATTCACTGAATCTAGTTACCTTATCCAAGGGCGCTGTATGTCTGCTGGCACTGACTACATAACAATCATTAGTTTGCTCTTGCTGTTGTATACCTATCAGGCAGCTCTTGCAGCAAAGAGGGCAAGGGAATTAGTCAGACAAAAGAGTGTGTTGAAATCATCATCTCTTCCTGGAAAACTGGCTGATTGTTCATCCCCAAATCCGGAAGAATCTGGTAAGTGTTGCTTTACTTCTTTCAAAAGGTTTTGACTTCTATGTAAGGAGAGCATTTTGATCATCGTCAGGTTTTGTATGAGAATTTTCTCATAATGTTCATGTTCTACTGGTAGTTACATTTCTCACATGGTGTAACGTGCATCATTATTGATTCAACCATTTTGAAATGTTGTTATTAGGTTCTGTTCATTATAATTATAGCGATTGCCAATGTCTAGATTGACTGAAGGTAAATTTTTGGTGTTTCATCTGGTTTCGATTCTCAGTGTTGCATTTTAATCATAGCTTTTTGCTGCAGTTACTTGATTACTTAAAAAAATATCTATTATCATTTTCGAGTGTTCAAGGCCTAATATTCTTTAAATTCTCTTTGCCATTTTTTCTTTATCTATTTATTCTCTTCTCCCTCGCAGCATCTTTTCATGAGATATTGTTTGTTATATATACTTCTATGAACTTTTTCCTTCTGAATGATTTTTGCATCATTCTATCTTTTCCTTCTGAATGATTTTTGCATCATTCTATCTTTTCTTTCTGAATATTTTTGCCGAGGTTAGAATGATGGTATAATCTGTTTGGGGCTGTACCAAATAACCGATAAAACCAAAAAATTGAATTGAACCAAGGTATTTGGTTTGGAAATTTTCGGTTTCAGTTTTTCTTAATAAGAACTGAGATATTTGGTTTCAGTTTCAGTTATTGTAATTGATATTTTGAAATATCTGAACCAAACAACAGGTAGGGGCACAAATGTTATCACAGGCTCTTCCTTATCCTAACATTACCTTGTCAGCACATCTATTCAAGACAACTGAGTAGATTTTTTAACTCTCCGTCACATAAATGACCATAGTAACTTTTTTTTTATTTTATTTTAACTGTAATTTTAAACCTTCATTCCAATCTTAGCTATTCTTTTCCTTCTCTCTCCAGTTTTGCTTTCTTCTTTCTTCTTTCTTCTTTCCTTGTCCAACCTTCTATTTTCCTTTTTTCAGAGTGTTATAAAGTGAGCCCAGGTGTTAGATGACTTTTGAGACTTAAATTGCTCTATCTTCTATCCAGATCACTAGTTTGCTTAGGTTGGGGCCCACCTTGGTGCCTTTCTAGTGGTTATTCTTCAGTTAGAATTTATACATACGCATACACAAACTCAAAGCTTATGTGTGTCTGTATTGGTGTTTATGTGAACCAACACCACCTCACCCCATGATTAGATAATGTGTTTAAAATTACAAAAAGTTACTGTGACACTTAAGGTCTTAGATTTTATCTCATGTTTTGCTTGCCCATGATTCATAAGTTGTCCTAGTGTGAAATGAGTGGCCCATCTCAAAATAAGAATCTGCCCCATACAGTCAGTCACTCTTTGTTTTAAAGGTATTCTTATTTAACTATGTTGATAGTGAAGAGGATTTGTTTTCTTGTTTTATTTCCCGCTGGAGGACTAATGTCTATACAGGTAAACCAGATTTGTTAGTTTTCATTGACTGAAAGCCAGTATTCTATATTTGGAAATTAGTTGATGGAGAATGGAATATACTAGTTGAGGATTAAGTTTTCGATGACTTTATTTATATTTTACAGACTCTACATCATCAGTCCCTGCTGGCTTCAAAATAAATGATAATGCATTCTGATCTACTACTAATGAGTGTCTAAGACTAATCTTTATGGTTGCATGAATGCAGAAATTTTCATAGTTGAAGGAGACTCAGCTGGCGGTAGTGCAAAGCAAGGCCGTGATAGGCGTTTTCAGGTAATATTTTACTTCTTCATGGTAGTTGGGCTGAGTAGATACAATTTAGATAAAATGCAGTTATTTGAAACATGCTGGTTAATACTTTGGATCTTTCTGTAATTTAGTTCTGTTTCATAAAAGGCTTCACTTGATCTATTAGTTAAACTGATCTTATATAGAGTTGAAGGAACATTACTTTTGCTTGCAGTAACTAGGATGTGAAAATGTACTAATCTTTAAATGTCACACCTATACATGTAAAGAAAGACACAATGGAGCAGGAAAACTTTGTGTATCAAATCAAACAGTCATACATGTTGACATTAGGCTAGTCTCAAGATGCTGCTTGGAGCAGATACTTACCAATTGATGCCATCAGAGGACTGGTCTTATTCTGCAAATGTCTTCTTCTGTCCACTATGTTTGTTAATCTGCTATTATAGCATTTTAATGCAGTATTTTATGTCAACACTTTTTGGAAACATGTAACTTTGAGACTCACTTAAAATTGGACCAAATGCACTCAATTCTAATATGGGATAAGGGTCTTGAACAACAAACAGCCATGCCTTCTGCTAATATAACTCGGCATCTTTCCCTATTCTGATGGCCTCTTCCCTGCAGTAACTATAACTTCACCTTCAGGTGCTTCTATTTGCTACCAATTTAATGATGCTGCAAATTATCTTTCTCTTTAAGTTGATGGCCTTAACGACTCTTTTATGGAAGTCCATCTTTATTTGATTTTCTGTTGCTTCAACAATTTTAGCTAACTCATCTGTAATGCGTAAAATCCCTACTCCTTGGACTTGCAAGTTTAGGGGGGAGTACCCGTATCAGTGGATGAAGGCAGGGGATATGTGTCTGAAACACCTTGGAGATTTTGAACACAGCAGAACGAAGAGAGAAGAGAGTGGAAGAAAATGAAATAGAGACATTAGTCAAAAAGGGACAGAGAAACGACAGCAGTCTATGAATAAAAGAATGAGAAGTGTTAGAACTACTCCATTTTTGTATGGATAGAGTAGCTGGGCTTAGTTTCAATTATTCTTCTGTTTATTCTTCTGTAGCATGCTACTGTAGTGATGTCTTTGTGGATTTTATTTTTGTTGCACCATGCAACTGACTCAAGTTCATGATATTCTTTGTGGTACATGGTCGTTTTGGATTCTTAAGTGGTTTGACCAGTGACATTTGGCTGTTGTTACTATTTACAGCTTGTTTGCGATGTAGTCACTTAGTTACGATTTTATGGATTTTACTTTAGTTAAGCCATGACAATTTGCTTTCGTTAAATGGTGCTCCTTGATGCATGTGGGGTGTAGACATCTATTCTGTCAGAACATTGGCATATGGCTTGTTCAGTATGTTGGTCCTGCTGTAGTTACATAGAAAACTACAGTTCAGATAAACGTTTAACATGATATGATTCATTATCTGCACATATAGATTATTATTCAGGATAGCAATCCTGGTCTTGTTTTCTGTTGTCCTGATTAGAGTTATATGTCTGTAGCATATTGAGTCTATAAATGTGTTGTTGCAGGCCATTCTCCCCCTGAGGGGTAAAATTTTGAACATTGAAAGGAGGGATGAGGCAGCAATGTACAGGAATGAAGAAATTCAAAATTTGATTCTCGCTCTTGGACTTGGGGTGAAGGTACTTGTTTTGTTGTTACTCTGCTTAATTTCTTTTCTCATATGCAAACTGATAATATCACATAATATATCTTTTTTATCCCAGGGAGAGGATTTTAAAAAAGAAAACCTACGATATCATAAGATCATCATCTTAACAGATGCTGATGTAGATGGTGCTCATATCCGAACTCTCCTGCTGACATTTTTCTTCAGATATCAGGTAGACAGTGATAAAAAGTCTCAATTTTGAGGCTACAAAGAATAAAGGATTTATATAATTTGTTCTTTGCAGAGAGCCTTATTTGATGAAGGTTGCATTTATGTTGGTGTTCCTCCCCTGTACAAGGTTTGTTGTTAGCTATATTGGATTTAGAGAGAAGTAATCTACCTAACAGTGTGCTTAATTCCTTTTCTCCACTTTGCTACAATTATCAGGTTGAAAGGGGAAAACAAGTATACTATTGTTATGATGATGCAGACCTTAAAAGGGTCCAGAGTATGTTCCCCCAGAATGCATCATACAACATTCAGAGATTCAAAGGCAAGGATAAAATCTCTCTCTTTCTCTGTTGGTGGATATATGTAATTCACTGTTGGGAGGCTAAGCAAGCTAATCTGCATTCTGTTATATGATTCATGCACACGATGTATATCTCTTGAAACTTAGTGTCTGCTATCATATGTAATGAAATCAATTAGTTTGAAAGTTACCCTGTCGTTATAGTGATGCATGTATTTTAGTCTTGCATAATCATATGAATACAAGAACATGCTCAACTTTATGTTTGACTGTTTTAAAACTACACAATACTAGTCAGCATTCTGTTTTATGATTAATGCGAATTATGTTTCTTCTGATTTAATGTGTCTCTCATATTTAATGAAATCTATTTAGTTTGAAAGGGTAAACTGATACTTTTTGCTTTTAGTTTTTGCATATGCATATACAGTATTAGAATGTGCTCAAATATGCATGGTCTCTTGGACCTATTGGTTTTTCTTTGCAAGTTACTTGTCATCTTATTTAGCATAGATACTTCTAAGAAAATCAGGGTCAGGTAGTGAATCATCCTTTTGAGGGGAAGAAAGATCCCATTAGAGAATTTTCAAAGTGACAGCAATAGCCTGAAAAAGCTGGATCTGCTTATGTAATTTGGCATGAATTAATGTGTCAATTAAATAGAAGCTTAACAACAGAACACATGTTAGATGCAAACTCCTTATGGCTCCTAACTGAACATGAAAACTTGTGTAGGGTTCACTCAGGATTCATTGAGCCTTGTTTCATAAGAGCAGTTTCTGACGAAGTGGCTCATGTGGAATGTTTGTTGACTTTTTAACATCAACAAGAAACTTTATCCCTTTTTGGGATTTTATAAAATCTATCTTTTTGTTAAAACAAAGTTATGGAGAAAAGAAAATGAGTCACATTTTTAGAATTGACGGACAGTGAGTGGAAAATCACTATTAAAAAATAAACAGAAAACACTGCAATGCAGTTACATGTCACTTTTTTTTTCTATGATGGAGGCAAATTTGTACCAAAAGTTAAGCAATGACTTCCACTAACACATTACATATATGCAGTTTTAGTTGAGCCTTTTACTTCTGGCAACAGTACGAATTCCCTTGAGTTCTAGGACTTGGATGGAATTATAATCATTTTTTCCATTTAAATCTTGGGTCTGCTCTGTATTTCTTACCATTCTGCTGCAAAAATATGGATGAGTTTTCATCATGCAGCATTGGTTGTATATTTTAATTAGAATGTGTATGGTTATGATGCAGGATTGGGTGAGATGATGCCTGCTCAGCTGTGGGAAACAACAATGGATCCTGACCAAAGGTTGCTGAAGCAATTAGTGGTTGAAGATGCTGCAGAAGCGAATATGGTGTTTTCATCCCTTATGGGTGCTCGGGTATGTAGGTCCAGTTAATGATTAGATTAGTTTATGTAGAATGAGGCACTACTGTTTATGGCATGCGTGGCTCCTTTTGCACTGACAAAAAGCTTAGGATTAGTCTATCAAGTGCAATAGGCGTTAATTATTTCTAAGTTTTGTGGTTCTTGTATTGTATTGCCGTCTCTTGTGAACATGGACACACCTGTGTGTAAAAGCTGCTGGGGATAAATTTGATTTAAGGTCTAAAAGAATTCCTGATTGTCCTGCACCATGCATCCTTCAGAGTGATATTTTAAAGAGAATTACTAAATTAAAGTGATTTCTGTGTATTTAGGTAGATGCAAGGAAGGAACTCATCCAGAATTCCGCAAGCAAGATCAACCTTGATAAGCTGGATATTTGAGAGTGGAGTTATTATACTGCATGCAGACATTGGGGTATAAAAAGATTTGTACTGGTAATTCTAGTTGCCAAGTAGGTTGGAAGTGCTCTTTTCTTGGGTGGGTGAGGATTTTGTATTTGGGAGCTGTGTATAAATGTTGTATTTATAGATATTTAAGCCTCAAATTGAAGATCCTCCATCTTCATACGTTGCTGTTTTCCAAATTTTGATCAGAAAATTTGTGGAGAATGGGCAAAAATGATTTTCTTTTCATTCATCTGAATTTATAGGTGGAAAAAGTTTGGTAAAATAACATTAAGTAAAGAGCATAGAAAAAAAAATGGTGTTAGACGTAGACAATAAATAGACAAGGTGACCCCACTGAGGGAATATGCTTCAAGTGTTGGAATCGGTTCCACTTTATGCTGCTATATTTTTATAGAAAGAAGAGGGAAGGAAGTTCCAACAGAAATAGACAAACAAAGAAGAGGGCATGCAGCTTCAATTCGGGGGAGAAGAATGTGAGTTACTTGTGTCAACCTTGTCTCGTTTTCTTTGATCATTATGATGATTATCGTCTATTTTATGGTTACGGGTAGATTAGCCATGATATGATGCCTTTTGAAAGCAGTAACACCAGGGGATAGGATGAATGATTTCATTTTTAATGTCTCTGTTTAAGAAATGCCTTTGCCAATCTATACTTTATAGGCTGATGGCTCTCATATTCTTCCAGAAACAAGATCAGAGTGAGTAACCATTTTTGAGCCAAAGCTCTAATTTGAACGTTTTAAACCGTTCCCATCAAAACTTGAATGGTCAGAATTCAACATTCCTTTGGTAATCAAAGTCAACACTGCATCTTTCCTTCTCCCAGCATGCCGGATCAACACTCTCTCATACTTTATCCTCCTGTTGGATATTGTTTTGAATTTACTTTTGAAACCTAAGGTTGAAGATTTGAGTGTTAATCAAAACTAGAGTTTAAAATCATGCAAATTTCTTATTTTTCATGTGTTTGCTTCGCTAAGATGATAAATAGAACACTCTTGAAGATGAAAAAAAGTGAACAAAGTAAATATTATATTTATATATATGAAGAATAAATTCCTTAAAGAATGTCAAGATTTCTCAGGTTTTTCAGAAAGGTTTCTCCAACCGTAGAGCCGACCTTAACAAATACAGCTGGATAACCAAGTGGAGCTTCAACCCATGCTTCACAACCTTGTTTTTCGTATTGCTTTCCTGTCCAGATATGTTGCCAAGTACATGTTTCTCCTGCCGGGAAATAAGCTTTGACATTCTTCTTCCCCTTATCAAGCACAGGAACCACTAGGATCTCACTGCCCACCAAGAACTGCTGGTAACTGAAGCTCTGAACCTGCTCATCATCTGGGTAGTGGAGAAATAGGTGACGGCAGATAGGCCAGCCCTTTTGAGCAGCTTCCTGTTTTGCGCATCCAACATAAGAGTACAACCAAAGAGAGAGCAAGAGGTTTGTCAGATTATTACATATGTTGCTTGTTTAGTAGTGAATAACTGCACATTTCTGGCATTACCTTTACAAGTTGGACTCTGTAAAACTTCCAAGCTTTGTACACTTTAGCAAAGCGCGCAAAATGTGACAGAGTTTGGTCATTGGAGTAAAATTGGCTGTTGCAGGATGGCTTGTTCCCCTGTCAGAGGAAAGATTGATATCAGTTACGAACAAGATCATACCTGACTACCTGTTATTGTTATCTTTGGGTCAAAACTTCAAATTTTTTGACAGAAATCTGGAGAATATTGGCAGGTTATTACTAATTAGTTTGCCTAGTTAGCACAATTCAGAAAGATATATCTGACGACTTCTTTTTAAGCACTTGGAAACCTCTAAATATCACTTGACTATGCTAAAACCTGCATATCATATTTAGACAAAACTCCTGAATTATGTTAGGGATACAGCCATAAAGGTAATATATCAATCATTAACAATTTTTCTGACTGAATGAAATTTCTTGAAAATAGTTGGAGCTGTAACTTGTGTAGCAGGTAATAGTTAAAAGTTCACCATATGGACCTTCAGACATTTCATGAATGTTTATAGAGTTTGCTCATTTATTTTTAACTAAACAAAAATGAGTATATGACTTGCTATGCTTAATTATTTGGGTATTTCAGGTTACAGATTTTGACTTACCTCATGAGTCCGGAAAACGATGGTGAATGCATTTAGCTCCATCCATCTCAAAAGCAGCTCTTCACTTCGATGATACTTAATAATTGGTAAGTTTATGGCACAGTAACCTCCAATATCGCTATGGTTAAAAGCATACCCAGAAAGTCCACTGCTCAATAGGCCAACAACAGAACTCTTTATCCCATCATTAGCTTGCCAGCTTACCATTTGGTCCCCTTCCCAAAACAGCATCCCCCATCTAGGACTATTCCTGAAACCAGCCCTCATGAAGAAGACTAAGCCCTCTTCTGGGTCTTCTCTCTCCTTTCCCACATGATTACTTTTCCATTCTTCCACAAATTCACGATTTATTTGAGCCCATAGTTCTGGGTATTTGTTATGGGCAGAAATAGGATCTTCACCTGGAAATGTTGAGTATATTATAGTTACTGATATAGTTCAACAGGAAAATGTTAGGAAAAAAGGAAAGGACAGGGTTAAGAAAGAGTTCATATGATTATCATCTAAACATCGGATGTGTTCAGGGGATTATGCTGCCACCTCATGCCAATAACTTGCTACTTTATTGCACTTTGCAAGGAAGGATGCAAATATTTGACAATATTGAACACAGAATGGATATGACATACTTTGCAGAAAGCTATTTGCCATGCTTGTCTTATAATTAAACAAACGGGGAGATAAATTTATAAAATAATAAGTTAAAAGATTGAAGCATTTCTGGAAGACAGCATGGGCCATGATAGTGAATTAAACTCTAGAACTATGGTAGTTTACTTCCAAGATGACATGCTAGTTTGGAGGTGATTGAGACCATTGCCACCAACCATGACAGAACATAGAGACAAGTATTGGAAAATGAATAGCTTATTTATGCTCCAATTTTTTTGTAATTGTGGATTCAGACAGGAACTTGATGTTTTAGAAAGATTGCTACCACTGCCTTTGAAACTTCAGAATTATGTACCAATAAACAACTTCAAACTCTCATCACTACTACCCTCCTGCACGTGGATAACCACAAAAGAAACCAAAATGGGAGACCCAAGAGAAGCAGCCAAAGCTCTTTGGATCACCTTGATCCTATGCAGACCAGTTCAAAAGCGGTTAAGATTTCAAACCTGAATAGAGTACAGCATCCACTGGCAGGCCTTCACCAAAATCAGCCATCCATCCTCTGACTCCATCATTCACCATTTCCAGTAAAATCTGCTTGAACCAATTTGCAGTTAGTGGGTGTGTCAAGTCCAACATTCCCACATCAAACGCTGTATTCGGAACCATGTAGGGTTCTCCATGCTGATCCCTCACCAAGATGTCCAGCTCTTTTGCTTCCTCAAAGAGATTTCTCCTTTTGTTTGGCTTCTCATCCATCTATAAAAAAGGAAGTCGAACTCTCAATTAAGGTTGCAAGCTTGCATCCATTATCAAACTATAGTGCAGTACGTGCTACGTAAAAAGTCATTTGGCATGCTCAATATGGAAAAATCTTCAGTCTTTTAGGGAGAAATAATTGCAACACCCTTTGTTGGTTAAATTTGTTGCATGTGTGGATTGATGGTTGGTATGGTTCTACCGCAGGACAGCATAGAAGTTAGCAAAGAAGTATCAGCATAAGAAGATCAGTACCAGTGCCAAACAAGGATTGCAGTATGTCATCACTTTGATGCAGTGTGCACTAAGATCTTTAACCAGCTGTTGCCATCCAGGGTACCTTGTTGTGTCCACTTCCCAATTCCACCATAATTGTGATCCTATTAATGTTTCCCTTTGCCCCACCCAGTCCTACAGAACAATAGCCACAAATCAAATTGACGGAAAACAAGTATTTAGAGTTCTTATTTTTTTGAGGTTCTTTGAGCAGAATAAAGTTTTCAATCAAGATCATCTCATACTGGCTGATGGATTGCATATTGCAGTTCCAACTTTTCAAAATTATCCAGAAAACAAGTATAACTGTACTATCAGAAAACTGGATCTAACAAAAAATTGACTCAGGTGTCAATAATTACTGAACAAAGAAGAGAATTGTCTGCATTTCAGTCAGTTTCAGCACTGAACAAAGGCAAGGACATTCGCATTACCTGCAACCAGAATGCAGAAATGGGAACCTTATAAGTCGTCAATTTATCCCAAACGCAGCGCACAGTTTCTGTGCCACCCTGCATGCCAACCACTGCTCCAGATATCATCCATTCAGGGAGCTTAGGAGGCCTCCCAATGGCTTCTGTGAAGTGTTCAATGATCTCCAAAGGTGAGTTTCCATGTAGTATTCTCCCTTGAACTGCATTTCCATGTATCTGCAAGCTCCAGCATACAGAAAATGGGAAACTGCAAGTTTTAAATCTTGATGAGGCTCGAACAACCCGATTTCTTAACAGCTTTATAACATTCATAAATCTCAAGTATGCATTAGTGGATTACAACTAGGATATAAAGACATACTCAGTTCAACAGTTGGACACTTGTTTCAAAAGCATATTGAGCACCGCCTTAAGATTTGTTTCAAAAGCAAATTCAATTTTATCATGACTACATGTATTGAAATATACCTGTACTTGGACCCTATCATGTTGTGTCAGATCAAATACAGAATAGTTATATCCTTCCAGGTAAAGAGACCTCATCTTGGATGTCATATAGAATGGTGAAGGAGCATAAGTAGTACTCCAATCTCCCCCAGCTCTACAACAAAGAAATTCTTTTTGAGATCAAAACCATCAAATTAGTGCTAGAGGTTAACCTTTTTAAATGATGGATGACAAAGCAGTTTTAACTTATACCTGTAGCTAACCAAGTTAGCAGCAAAGGTAATAGGTTGGTCTCCTCTTCCAATACCTTGTTCTTGAACAAAAATGGGTACCCTTTTCCCCTTAAAATCCATGCGAGAAAACTGCTCTCCAAAACCAAAAAATCTCTCATTTCCTTCACTTGCATAGGTGAAACAAACCCTGTTGAATTCTGCTGTAGGTTCTGCAACATTCAGTTCTCCTAGTTCCTCCTCTGATGAAGAAACTGTGACCAAACCTTTCGTCCTTGTAAAGACCCAGTACCAACCCAGCTTCCGTTTTCGATACCGGCCCAGTTTCCTCCTCAAACGCCTGTACCATCCTGAAGCAGTTAGGGGTGAAGCTTTCTGGAGATGAAGCTGAAAATTTGGCTGTCCAATTTTGACTTGGAATCCAATTTGGTTACTGTTCTTTTGATCAAACAAGACCCAATACCTTGCTGAAGCAGCAGGTTCCCTTTTCTCAAATTTTATATCCTTATAAATGCCTGAACTTTGAAGCCTCTTCTTTTTCCTTTTGCTGAAAATGTGGCCTGTTATAACCAAAACAGGGGGCTCCGCAAACTTGGAATCTGTTTTGAGATGGTCCAGTTCCAAATGATCAGGCAGAAAGTCATTATCTTTATGATCAAATTGATTGATCAAAACGATATCTTCCATAGTTTGGTGATGACAAAGCAGGTGAACATCTCTGTCTTTGACGACAAAAGATCCCCTGCTTTCTTCCACCTCAGTCTCAGCCAGGGCAGCAGTTATAAATGCCTGTCCGGGGATGGTGGACCACAATGATTTTGAAGGCTGAGATTGGTGAGAAATTGAGATAGACCCGCCATTTCTGGTGCTCCAAAGAAGCTGAAAATCCTCCCCGACTGGGAAAATTTGGTGGGGCGGCAGCGTTTGGGAATTGATGAAGAGGTTGCCTTGAATTGAGGGCAGAGATCTTGGGGTAGAAGGGAAGGGATTGTTGAGATGCTTGTGGTGCTTTTTAGTGATCTTGAGGATTGACATGCCGAGAGTGGGGGAGCTTTGATTGTGCATGGGATGTCATTTAATTTGTAGCTAGCGTTTGATACAAAGGAACTAGATCATATTTTTGTATATCGTGTCTAATTAAATTATATTTATATATTTATTTTATAATATATATTGTAATATAAAGATTATAATGTAATCATATTACAGTCAAATAATGTAATGTGATTATAGTCTAAAATCAATACAATCACATTACATTATACCTGTAATATTCTTAAAGATAATTTTACTTTTTAACTTTATTAACTTATTAAAAATATTTTATAATGTTATAATTAAAATAAAATATATAATATAAGAATTAAAAATAAAATAAAATATAAAAAATTAAAATTTATATAATATAGATAAAATAAATAAAAATAAAATATATAATATAAAAATATATCAAAAATAAAAAATAAAATATATAAGATTATAATATAAATGAAAATAAAATAATGATATTAAAAATATATTAAGATTGATATATATAAAAATTAATAATAAAAAATATAATATATTAAAATAAAATATAAAAGATTATAATAATAAATAAAAATAAAATATATGAAATTAAAAATATATTTAAGAAATGATATTATATAAAAATTAATAATAATAAATATAAATATATTAAACTTAAATTTTAATAATTAGAGATAATTTTGAAAATTAACATTACATTCTCAACAAAGTACTTATAAACCAAACGCTGCAATGTTATCTTCCCTGCATTTTACTTGTATACCAAATACTGTAATGTTATTTTTCCTACAATCACATTGCTTGCAATCACATTGCTTGCAATCACATTGCTTACAATCACATTACCTGTAATCACATTGTATTGTAAAGTATCAAACGTCACTATACATTTACTAATATGTCAAGGGATCATATTTGAAAAGTCTTTAAATTAAGTAAGAAACTTCAAATAAAATTTTTATTATTATTATTTTGAATCAATTAAATCTTAATTTTAAATATCATTCATTCACCGTTAATGATGTTAACATGATAGTAAAAATATGGTATAATTATATTATCATTGTGTTATACATATTAATATGTTATTTTAATATTATATTATATAATATAATAAATAATATTTTTATTTATAATAATTAATTATAAAAGTTAATTTAAATTAAATAAAAATATAAAAATATTATTAATATGATAAAAATATTAATATTTTAAAAATATTATATCATTTTAAAATCATTAAATTTTACCTGGCAAACTTAGAACTGAATGTAGAAGTTAAAAGGGATAGGATAGGATAGGCCAGGGAGAATTTTGTCTCATGCTAAGTCGCAAACACAAATTGGTTTCAGGGTTGAATTCAAAGTAAATTAATTATAAAAGTCACAATTGGACCATTAAAACTAGTAGCAAGCTGGTGTGATGGTGGCGGTGGCGGTGGTGGTGGGGTTACACTTCACTTTTACTATTCAGCTTTACGAGAGAGAGGCAGAAAGTTTGCTTCCTACAAAATCAAAACAAGGAAAAAATTCTTGAAATTTCTCAAATTTTTTAATTTTGAAATGGATAATTAATATTTTGTATCTGGACAACAAGTTGGACCAAGTTCATCTTGCTAAGGCTGATAAAATAGACATGCTTCATAAATATTTTCTTCAACAAGATATATACTTTTTTTTCGGTGCTAACTATATATTCATGCAATTAAAATATGAGAAAAAAACAACCAAAAAAAATGTGTAAACATTAAAATTTTCACTGTTTAAGTTTCAACTCGAAATTTTCATTGTTTAAGCTTCAACTGAAAATTTTAAGTATAATAAGTTATATTTATCTAAATCTATCATAATAGATATTTATTTAGAATATAAAAAAATGTGCTTAACTTTTTATACATGATTTTAGCAACAAAAATAACACAATCATCAAATTAACTACGGGAATTCAATACTTTAGAATCTTCCGTTCTCTCTATATATATGTATTGCTATTTAAAAAAAAATCATAAGAGTTGAGGTTTTCCAAACATACCTACACCATTAAACCCACGTAGAATATTGAAGTCTAATTCATTTTATTAAATCATATTGTAAACTATCATATTATTTCATTATCCAGGCTAAATTTAGTCTAAGTTTGATAAAAATACAAAAATAAATAGTATAAGTCAACACTTTAATTAAAATTCAACAATCTCGTACTTGGATTACATTATTTAAATTCAAATTTTGAATAAAAAGAGTTTTCTTAAAATGACTCATAGGCTAAAATAAATGAAAATTTCATGGGTCAAATTTTAATAAACATTAGTCTTGACACTACTCCAAACATGTTGTATCCAATAAAATTTTGAAATATTGAAGGATAACAGCAACTCAATCTATAAAAACACAGTAACAACTACAACAACATATATTACTCAATCCTATCAATATAAATTCGACGTGGTAGTATAGGAATGAATAAAAACACTTTCTTAATGATCTATATCCTACGTTGTACTCATTTATCAAACATTTTATACTCTACTTTTTGCAACTCAAGCTTGCAAGAAAAATATTTTATGGTTTATTTAATAAACTTGTATATCTACCTTACCTATCTTGATCAGGTATACCTTTGTGTGTCAAAAATATACACTCAAGGTTTATGTGTTGTATCTACCTTACGTATCTTGATCAGATGTACTTTTATATGTAAAAATATACCTTCAAGGTTATCAATTTATACTTAACTTATGCTTAAGATTGATACATGTGCACACACACGCGTGCGCTGAAATATACACACACACACATAAATACTTTATGACTAAATATCACAAAATAATTATTATTAATAATAAATCCAAACACATCTTCAAAAATGTGTTAAAAAAATTAAACATATACTTTATAGCACAAAGTTATGTTCTTCTCACTAACCAAAAACATCAAAATACTTTATAACACCCGTATCATAAACATGTTCTTGAATGTAATAGGATGCAATCCTTTAGTCAGAAGGTTAACTATCATGTCATCAGTCTCAATATGTTGTCCTGAAATGTCATCTTTTTCTCACAAATTCTTTAGCTATCAAATATTTTATCTCCATATGTTTGGCTCTAAAATACATCTATCATAGTTATTTGAAAAAAGTGCTTGAATGAACCTGGTCTTCAAGATCCTCAGGTTGTGTCCCAGACAACATCTTATCCATCAGAGATGGGTAACAAGTTTTTTTTAAAAAACAAAATCTATGAAACCGATTACTTATTTCATAAGTAAGAAATATATCATATGTTAATTTCCCAACTTTATTAATATTTTATCATGATAAAGCATCGACAATAAATAACTTAAGAATGATGCTTTTTTTTTATATAATTGGAGGAGGGAGGATTCAAACCTTTCTCTTTAGGCAAGAAGATAATGCACCAACTAATAAACCAAATGCTCAGATGCACTTAAGAATGATGCTTTAATGTAATAAAGTTTCATAATTGTAATATTTTATAATTCCTTTTGCGAGGTATATTATTTTATGAACTTTATGTATATAAGAAAATGACATAAATTGTATAAACTCACTGATAAAGATCTTTAATATATTCAATGGATAAATTGATTTCAGTATATCTATTGATTAACTTATTGGGCATACATCAACTCGATCATATTTTACCACATTCTTATGTTGAGAGACCTCATCAAAACTAGTTGAATTAGTTCTTGTTCCCAAATTGGTATATGTGCCCTAATATCCTATCATATGGGTATAAGATTATTTATAATTTCAGTATGCTCTCCTCCATCACTAACTTAAGAGCAACTAGTATCAGCCACATCTAACTTCATAAATTAAGTTGCTTTTATCTCAACATTTTACAACTTCTACTTGAACAATAAAATCTGTAGCAAATAAAATGATCTAGGTACTTAATAAAATAGCAACCAGTGGAATAATATTGTATCTTAGTTTCAATGGGATTATAAAGGTGTAACTCTGAAGGACATTTCCAAATACAAAAGCGTTAAAGATTAGGTTTCCATTCAATCCACAGCTTAAAAAGGGTTAAGTACAAACTTATTAAGGATTTTATTTAGAATTGTCAACAAGTAGGGTACTTGGTTTTTTTAAGGCAACCTACTTGAATCTTATTAACTAATAAGATATCCAAACACTACTTAAATAAAATTTCAAAAAACTACACGAATTTGTACCTAAATACTATATATACTGCCACTTAAATACCAAAATCCATTCAACCCCTGATTATGAAAGTCAAATTTTGTTATCTGTTTATGAATACTAGTTTAATAACACGAACCAAAATCGAGACTTGAAGAAGTAAATAATTATTTCACATTTAATTCATATGCAATTTACTAATAATTTAAATTTATAAAAACAAACAAACATTAAAATTAAAATTCAAACAACAAAAAATAACTCAAACAAACAATTAAATAATTAAATATAAAAAAAAGCATCAATAATTATTTTCTTCAAAAACATGAGAAATCATTCTTGTTCCTTAACAAATAATATCATATATTCAAATTTGGCATACATAAAGATAACAACAACAATACAATATATTACAAACAGCATTCACCAGAAATCATTCTTCTTTCTTAACATCAAATGTGCAAATTGAATTTGCAGTTGCATACGATATAATACAAAGTTATACATTTTGATTTTAATCACTGTAATTACAAATGATTTTACTTTGAAATTAACTAAAAATTATAGTGAAACTTTTTTCTTTTGCTTAATCAGGAGACAAATTTATTAAGTATTAAGTGTTTGATACAAATTGATCAACATTAGAAAGAGATCAATAAAAGTGAAAGTAAACAAACTACGACCTAGTTCACCAAATATCAAAAAACCAATAAGAGATTTAGTACAAGGCAGAAGAATACATATGTTCCACGATTGTCATCAAGAGATAAACACAACAATACAACAAGCAAACGATTAACTTAGACTTGGAGATTATTCTCATGTTGAAAAATCTTGATAAATCTTAAAAATAAATAGTAGAA